ATTTATGGTCCGCCGATGTGTAAAAATCGATAGCAAGCTAATAACCTGACAAATACTGGATAACGGATATTAACTGTTCATTCAGTGGGCGCAACATTGTTGGTGTTGGGCAGATGTTGGCAAATTTGCTTCGATATTAAAGATTGCCATAGATATCGCGTATAATATAGTAAATGAATCAAATGCGGGTAAAATTCCATCTACACCAATAAAAATAGATGAGCTAGTCCGAGAAAATAGAAGTTTCAGCTTGAAAATGGCATAAATGAATTGACTGTGATTTCCTCGCAAAAGGAAGTTAGAGGAAGAGTGAGGAAAATGCGTATTACTAACTTAAGTGGAATCAGCGGTCATGAAATAGTTAGTCAGTTGCAATGAAGAGAAAGACAAAAAGGGACGAACAAGCTGCCTGCGACATCCATGATAGCCAGAAAGTCTACAATCATATGCTATTGTACACGGACCCTGCGATTTTTCTGCGTCGATATATCAAGTATGTTATTATTATCTACAGACATCATACAGACCCAAGTCTTATTACGTAAAAGTGCAAAATATCTACTTCTTTTACTAGAGTAATGTGGTTGTTATGTTTTCCCACGTGAATTAGTAGAACATCTGGTGCGTAAACAGTTCAGATTCTGACGTCATTCTAACGTCCTGACTGATAGAACCTGGCGCTAAAGGATTTCTGAAGTGCAGCGCATTAATGATGCTATGCCTCAGTAAGAAAGCGACGACTCAGTACGATATATCATACCCCTTTGTTTTGCGCAGTTCGTCTTAGTTTAATGATGGTTGTCACCTACTAAGTGAACGCATTCAAACGATAATACTGCCTGTTTATTCTAATAAGGTAGAGCATTCTTTTGGCTCACGGCTTTATCTGTGGGCTTGAGTTTTCCGTGCTTGACGGGTTCAGCGCATACTTTTATTGCAGATCTAACACCGCTGAATTGAAGAAGCACATGGGAAGTTCGTTTGTATGAATCGCAATCCAATTGTTTTGTTTCTCAAAATATGACTTGAAATTTTTATTAAGCGGTGGGCTCAGACGTCCGAAATATAGCAATAAAGTTTATTAAATGGAGTACACGAATTTTTTATGCGAGTGAGGATAGCATATTCCAGTATTTACAGGCGGAAAAATAACGCATTAAAGATATACTTTGAACGCGCTTTGTTGCACATTTATGTTTCAGACCAACCTCTCTCTCTCTCTCTCTCCGTATTCAGAGCTACAGTTGAGTGTAGCTGAAGGTTGGTCCGAACGTCAGTGTATGATAATATAGGTTTGTAAATAAATTTTCTGCATTGTTTTCTCATTCTTCATATTCTGAAAAATAAATTGAATTCTTCCAAAAGTTGTACCCTGCTCTTGGATTTAGAAGTTTAGAGAGTCATTTAACGTGACTGGCGTTCCATAATATGTAACATTTGCAGTGCATTTGCACTAATGCCTCCCAGATTTTTTACCTAGTGAGCTGTGTTAGTCATTTTTTAGCATTGTTTCAGGGCCAAACTTTCATATATGTTTATGTGTCCTCCGTCAGCAACATCAAAACGGTTGTTCCAAATATCCCGATATATAATTGAGCATAGTTCTTGCAGATCTGGTGTGAAGCACAGTTGCCCTGCAGGTATAACATGAGACTGTGACTTCTTT